GCATGTTGCAAAGGCGATTAGCGAGGGCCGAGCACATTCCAAGGCGACCCATTGGAAGGGCAAGTGCATAGACTTGAGCAAGGCTTACAAGGAATTGGCGGTGTATCCTCAGCATCGTCCTTTGGCGGTCATTGCAGTGCGAGGGGCAGATGGGCGAGATGCGCTTTACCTGTCCAACAGCTTGATGTTTGGGAGCACAGCAGCGGTTTATGCGTTTAATCGCATAAGCCGCTGCATTTGGTTCTTGATCAACCGTCTGCTGTGGATACCTGCAGGGGTCTTTCATGATGACTTTCCTCTTCTGAGTCCTGCAGAAAGTTCTGACAATGCCGATGCAGTTGTCAGTGCATTTTTGGATGAGTTGGGATGGCTCCATGCGAAAACAGGGGCAAAGGGTAAACCCTTTGCCGAGGAGTTCGATGTTCTTGGAATGTCGTTGCAACTCTCGAGTTTTGGTCAGGGCAAAGTTGTTTTGGCCAACAAGCAAGGGCGGATTGAAAGGATCATAGAGCGCATGCAAGAGATTGCGGCCAAGGGCGAGATTCGACGACACGAAGCGCAGGTCCTGCAAGGCTTGCTTCAGTATGCATCTGGCTTTTACTCGGGGCGAGCTTTGAAACACGCTTCGCATGTTTTGGCCAAGATCTCCAGTGGTTTACATTTTGGGCCCAAAGACCTCAGTGACTTTTGTCTGCATACGGTAAGCCTTCTTCGTGATGAATCACCGCGCATCTTGAGCAGCTCAATGATTACGGACGTCGTGCATCTGTGGACAGATGGAGCTTGGGAGTCTGGTATCGCAGGTGTGGGAGTAGCTGTTCACGACTGCTTTGCAGGCACGGGCTGGGTCTATGAGGGCCGAGTGCCCGCTAAGGTCCTCGACAAGTGGAAAACTGAAGTGGGCGAGCAGCTAATTTGTGAGATTGAGATGTTTGCAGTCCTTGCAACGATGCTTGAGCTCAACACCTTTTTGTCCACCAGACGCGTGATATGGTGGATAGATAATGATGCTACCAGAGCAGTCATTATAAAGGGAGCCAGTCGAAGCTGGGCTATGCATGAGCTTGCTCGACTGTTTTCTGAACTCGACACTCAATACCCATCTATGTGGTGGGTTTGCCGAGTGCCATCGTTCTCGAATCCTGGAGATGCGCCGTCAAGAGGTCATGGCAGCGAGGCCATGACGGCGGTGGGAGCATCAAAGGTTCAGAAGTTCAGCATGCTAGATGAGTTGTCTGAGCGTCTCTGCGCCTTCAAGAGAGCCTCAGTGATCAGGGGCGTCGGGGCTTCTTGAAGGTCTTCAGGACCGGTAGAATTCTGAGACACGTGTGGCCCTCGCAGACCCCCGATCGCTGGTGAAAGAAACGACGGTTTGAGCGCAGTGAGAATATGACTATTGTGAGTTGAGGAAGTTTTATAATTTCATACGATCTCTAAGAGATCAACACATATTCTTGTGAACAATCATTTATAATAGATTCTGTGAGGGGAAATAAGATTTACCCCAATAGATGAGGAAAGAGCTGAGCTAGAAAACCCCCAGTCCCAGAAAGAATGGATAGACGTGCTGATCGCCCCGGGATTGGAGACCGCTCCACCTCGCGGCGGAGCTGGCGACGCGAAGCTCCCCGACTCGCTCCACCAAAAAAAGGGCATCTGGTGCCCTCAGGTCACACATCGGTGCTTCGAGTTCTGCGTGCGGCCTTCCACGGCGTGGGCGACCTGACCGCGGCTGAACGCAAGAACACGGTGCGCTGCACCGGCTGGCCCTTCTACGAGGAGAACCGTCGCGCTGCGGACGCCCGACATCCCAACCCCGCGAGCTCGTCGACGTGGGCCTGGACTTCGGACCCGTGCAGTCCGACGAGGTCTCCCTCGAGCAGATCGGCGAGTTCGAGATGGCGAACCTTGGTCTGGTTGAGATCGTCGTCTACGGCTGGGTGGAAAAGACTTGGCGCGGAACCAGGCGAGTCGGCGAAACCCAGCTCCGACTGCCGCTGCAAGAGGTGATTGAGGTCAGGAATCCCGTAGTCGTGTTGCTCCTGCACGAGGGCCACTACTCCCTCGTTTACAACTTCGACGCCTTTGTGAGCCAGCGAAGCTCCCAGATCAGCGTTCGCTGGCACAAAGGAGACCATGTGAACTGTTGCCCCATCTGCCGAGCCAACTTCAAGAGCGAGCTTGCGTTGAAGGCGCACTTCAGGACTGGCGCTTGCCGCTACGACTTCGAGGGCCGGCGATCTCAGAACGCCTTGCCTTCACCTGAGAACGCGCTGTTGAAGTACGTCACCAAGACCTCTTGCGAGCTTGCTCCGGTCATCGTCTCTACGCTGACTTCGAGGTCTTCAGCGATGCGGCCCCCGAGCACGCGGCGGTCAAGGGCGTGCAAAACAGAGCGGCCGCTGCAGCCTACGTCGCCGTGGGCTCCTGCGGCTACGAACCCCCCGAGGAGCACAGGCTTTGGATGGATCGTGCCCGAGAGGGCGAACCGGAGGACTCGGTGGTGGTCAGGTTTCTGAAGTCCGCTCAGGATCTGGCGGGGCACTACATCAACTGGAGCAGGGGATGGAAAAGCATTCGGTGGACGCCGGAGCTGCTGAGGCAGCACGAGCAAACCGAAAGGTGCAGGGAGTGCGGGCGGTGCTTCAGCTTCGAGAACGTCCGACAAGTGCGCTCATCACTGTCACGGAACGGGAGCCTACTATGTTCGAGGTGCAACCATGCCGCCCACACTCCCTCCGAGCTCACGATCTGCCTGCGCAACGGAGGGAATCACTTCATCCTCCGAACCTACGCCAAGCTGAAGACCGCCGCTGCTGCCAGGCGCTCTAAGCGAGGTCGCCACAACGTGCTCGACCAGGAGGACCCCCTCGCTACCTGCTCTTTGTCGACTACGACTTTCCTGAGGAGCTCCACGACAAGATCGACTGGCCTCCCCCGGCCAGGCTGTCTGTGCGTTCGGGGGACGTCGGCCCCTATACGAAGGGGGCTGTGAAAAACCGACCGCCTTGCGAAAAGTTGGTACCGTTCCTGGGCATGCATGTGGCGGAGGGAATCCACAGCACTCGCCTGGCCTTCCTCAGGAACCACCTGGGCGCTCGCATCTGGAGGCTGCGTCGCGCCTGGTCTTTCATGAAGCACAGGACGCTGCAGCGCTTTATGGAGAGCGCCTACGAGCGACGGCGAGAACTCAAAGAGGCCGGTCGCTCTCTTGAGCAAAGCTTCGAGAAGCTGAGCATCAATTCGATCTATGGCAAGACGATCCAAAACCAAGAAAAATATCGCAATACGAGCCTGTATTTCGATGCCGCCAGACTCAGCAGAGCCCAAGCGGGCCGCAGCGTGGCTGACTTTAACGTGGAAGTCATGGAACGCGACGCCTTCATGGGCTCGGTCAGCCGGGTGAGGACGTGCGGCGTCCGGCAAGCACTTCAATCGGAGCCCTCTCCAAGTGGGCTGGGCCGTCCTGGAGCTCTCAAAGCCTCAAAGCTGAAGATCGCCTGGCAATACTGGATGGGAGTGAAGGCGGTGCTGCCGAGAGTTGTCCCCATCCTGACGGATACGGACTCCATGCTGTTGGAAATCATCGGCGACTGCGACCCCAGGAAACTCCTCGCGGAAGCTAACCTCACGCTCCCCGTGGAGTTCGACCTGCTCGGAGGCTCAAGGAGCTGCAGGGGCGACTGGGGGCTCTGTCAGACGAATGCGCGAGCTTTGTCCTGCGCTCCGCGGTTTGCTTGGCGGTCAAGAAGTACAGTAGAGGCGTCATCCTACAGCCTAAGGCATATATCAGTTAGGGATGATTCATGCGATGAAACATCCCATGAATCATCCCA